AAAACCAACCCCACTCATTACTAATGCAGAACTATTGAAATTTAGTCTGAATAGGAGTGAAACATTACTAAATAATAATTAATAATCATACAATGATAAAATTATAACTCATTAGAAGTGATCTATTTATTATGTCTTGTGAAATTGATTTTTACTTAATTCAAATCCCCGTTATAGTGTGACGTTCTAAGTGAATCGTCTTATTTCCACAATGTTTGAACGTAATTCAATTTAATTCATTTTTAATTAGTTTTCAAGAACTACTCATTGGAATGTAAAACTCTTAATCGAACGTACTGTGTCGTTGAACGCATGCTGAAATGCACGGACAGTGATATCAATCTCGTCTTCTTCGTCTTCTTTTTCTTCATTCCTTTATTTAACGTCGGTCTCTGTTCCGCAATCTAGTGCCAATCACCGACGGACATCGATTGCCATCCATTGACGGCAAATCGAATGTGCAGGAAGGCAGCTTCCACACCTGCGATATCGCACCCATTCAACACACATGGGCCGGGACCAACGGCTTATGCCTCAAAAAAATCCCACCGAACTCGGCTGAGATTGAAGCATTGGGGTGATAAAGCAGCCACGCTTACCACTACACCACCGGCGCCGGCATCTCAATCTCAAAAACGTATAGGTTACTCATAGGCTGAGTAACATTTTCCTCGCTTTTACTCGTCAAGTCAAGTAAGTTTACTCATAACCGCAATGAATGAAGAATCTCAGCGATGAGTAAATTTGCCTCATGTTTTTTTTTTCTGTGGAAAACCTCAAAAATCTTCCGTAAAATGAGAAAACTTGACGGCAGTTTTATTCAGTCTAGCAGTAGCACCAATAGACTGAGAGAATCCAATCTTTACTTTTCGTCATATTCTGGAAAACCTGGAAATACCTGGAATAACATGAGGCGGGGGAAGGGGTTAATCTCATTGGCCGTGTCCTCGAATATGAGGAAAATAGACGAACATTTTACTCACTCTACGAGTATACTAAGGGTACATGCAATTAGTACGTCACGAAAAGTTTATGGAAAATCAACGCTCCCTCTCCCTTTTCGTCACGTTTTTCCTATCCTCTCCCCTCTCTCCCTGAAGTGTGACGTACTTAGTGGATGCCCTCTTATAGGCTGAGTGAAAGCTCTCTCAATTTTCATCATGTGAATTTGAGTGAATGAAACTCAAATTTGAGTTAATTCAATCGGCCGTGTTCGATGGATCGTTCCACACTGTGTGTAACGCCTCGATAAAGTAGATTGTGTTGCATCGTTCAGCATGGAAAAGCTCGTTACCCATCGCAAGCTTTGAAAGCATATAAAAATGAAGCTTGTCATGAAGTTTTATTTGCTGCTCTTGGAGAATACTCACTGTCGGTCAGACCCCTCAAAAATTGAGTAAATGCGCCTCAATGTCGGCAAAATTGAATTTCCTCAAAAGTGAGTTGAATTTTCCGGGATTTTGGCAGGAAAACTTTTTACACGGCGAATGAGAATAACCCAAATTTGAGTTTATTAAACTCATAAATCACATTAAGTGCAGGAACTCAGAGATGATTAAATTTGCCTCATGTTTTCCCAGGTTTTTTCCCAGGATTTTCCAGGGAAAAATTCCCGAATTTGAGAAAAGTAAAGATTGGATTCACTCAGTCTACTCCGAGGCTGAATAAAATTTTCGTCAATTTCCTCATTTTCCGGCAGATTTTTTAAGTTTTCCACAGGAAACCATGAGACAAATTTACTCATCGCTGAGTTCCTGCACTTTTGGCGATTATGAGTGAACTAAACTCAAATTTGGGTCGTTCTCATTCGCCGTGTAAATATGAGGAAAATCGATAGAGATGTCGGATGTCGAACTAAACATTTTCCATCCCTAATGAAAGGTGAAAACGTGATCGGTGCCGTTGTTGATCTATACGTAGATTTTAGAGCGGTCATTTCATCTTCGACGGCGGCTTCTAAAAGCTGTTTTAGCATCGACGTCGAGGCGTGACGCCGTTGACATTGTTCGGCGGAGCCGGCGTGCATCGGCGTCGTCGTAAAAATATCGCATTTTCAACTTGAAATCAAGTATTAGTTATCATAAATGAAACAAAAATATTTTAATGGTGTTTGTGACGTGATATAGGCAGCGCCATTTAAAATTTGGTACTAAACACCCTAGCATATCCCTTAAGAACAGTTGGGAGAATGGTATACAACGCACCCCCTGGGCAGAACGCACCAGCTGACTTTCATTTGTGTTTTTCATGGCTTTAACGTAACTTTTTTGTTGTCTTATCAAGCAGTACTTCTAGCATAGCATCTGAACTCAAAATCCTGCATGATAAATCCTTGAATTGGATTAAACATTCCAAGAAAAACTCAAAATAAAATGAAAAAGTGCGTCTTACCCCGGGGGTGCGTTATGTACTGTTCTCCCCTATCGGTTGTTTGAACGCAAGCTTGCAAATGCTCATTACAGCTAAAATGCTATTTTTTGGATTTATGAAGCTATGAAATATTTTAGTGATAATTCTTATTTATAAGATGCAAGTAGAGCATGTAAAGTGTGTGTGTATGACACATAAAACCTGTCAATTTAGCTTTCAGAGGGTCACAATAGCGATTAGCTGTATCGATGAGCAACGTGATGAGCGAGCAATCAGCGATCATACCATCGCTAGCTGTGACCTTCTGAAAGCAAAATTTTATGTCATACACAAACTTTGCCACCTACTCTTGCTTCTTACAAATAAAAATTACCATGATAGTATCTCACAGTTTCATAATTACGAAAAATAGCATTTTAGCTGTAATGAGCAATTTCAAGCTTGTTTGGACGAATGGATGATAATAAGATATTGAATAAATAATATGACCAACATGATTTTCTTTTTGAATTTCTATGCTATGATGGGTTGTGGTTCGAAACTCTAGCGATTTTCCCGGGGAATTTGGAATGCGTCCAGAAGCAAGGTTGCAAAGACTCATTTCAGCTAAAATAATGTATTTCGGAATAATAAAACCAAAAGATGGTATGATGGCATGTTTTACTTGTAACTTACAAGAAGAGGTTACAAAGTATGCGTTGGAAACATAAAACCTGTAAATTTTGCTTTCTATGAGTCACAATCAGCGATTTGCTGATCGCTGAGTGAGTGAGTGAGTGAGTGAGTGAGTGAGTTTGTGAAAAATCGCTGATTGTGACTCTCATGAAGTGAAATAAACAGGTTTAATATGTCAAACACATTCTTTGCAACCTCTTCTTGTATCCTACCAATTCAAAATTTGATCATGGCATCTAATTATTTCATAATTTAGAAAAACATTGTTTTAGCTGAAATGAGTCTTTGCAACCTTGTCAGAAGTGGCCAAAGTTGTCCTGAACACCTGATGTAAGTGCCATCGGTTATTTCGTTTTTGATCCTCATGTTATTTGAGGAATTGCTTGATGTGTTAAGGTATAAGCACAGACAAGCAGACATAACACTTTGAATATTTTTCAATATAAAACTTCGTTGTATTGTGATGGGTGGTACGCTGAACAGATGGCGGTAGTGTGTTAACGTATAACGCAAGGGTTATTGACTATGCGCGCCACTGGTTGCGCGAAACATTTAAATTGGCGTCGGTAGCATTGGTATTCACTACGGAAAACAAATCAAAGGAAAAAAAAAAAAGAAATACACGGGATGCATTTTTGTAATTTTAAATTTTTCTGTAAATTTGGAAGAACATTGAACTGGAGTTTTGCATGAAATATATACAACTTTCCGTAAATTTGGTAGAATTGGTTAAATTAATCCTTGATTTAATAATAAAAAAAAAACAAAATTGTTCAATACAATACATTGAAATTCACATCACCATAAAATTTACTTTCTGAACTTTGTTTCTGCAATAAAAAAAAACCATGTGCAATAAAGATTATTACAATCCGATTTAATCATCATTTAGCTTCACCACACCTCCTTAAATCGGTCAATACAAAGCTCCGTGGAATTGGTATTCAGTCGTAAAGTACCTCGTGTGTGAAGAATTTGTTACAGAAATGTTGGAAGCAAGTTTCCCTTCATTGTCATTGAATCTTATGACAGAAATGGGTCCCATATGATAAAGTAGAGCTACACCCTTTGCTTGGGAGTGAAGATTCCAGTTTATATAATGTACCCCTGCTCCGCACTGCTCTATCGATCTGCATAAAGCCCCAACAACTGTGCCAAATTTGGTCTGGATTTGCGAGAGAACTTACAAGTTTGTATGGGAAAAATGTAAGCGAAATGGAACAAATCTAATCTGGAGTGCAAAGCCATACACTTATTTTTTTGTGATTCCAACAGCCGAGTAGTTCTGCAATTTATTTTTCTGAGATTTAGTAAAACAATTGCCGATACTCAGCTAACAAATTAGATTTTTTTCTCAGATCTCAGTTAACAAACAAATATTTTGCAGAGATATTACCTAAAGTAAATGTGGAGGAAATCAGCATTCAGATTTTACCGAGCTAGATTTAGTGTATATGACATATTTGGAATTTCAAAATTTTGATTGAAAGTAGTAGTTCTGAATAAGCTGTTTCACTCAAATTCCATTCTTCATTTTGAACTCCCTCGGAATATACTTAAAAATACCTAATCCCCGCGATTTCTCTTCGCATCATTAATATTCATGAAATCACATTCAAAGAGGGGCTGTAAAACAAGCGCGCCCATCTCGTATCACCAGCTGATTGAGCGTTGACCTTCGATCTACGAATGTTTTCATCCTCCACGAGTGAGTAAAAAGCTACGCTAGCGGGTGCTGCTTCCGCCGTTTTCTCCCAGTTCTTCGTCGGTTCGGAGTCACTCGTTTCGGAAACTTTATGAATGAATTCACCCGCGACGGAGTACTCTGTGATCTCGCGGCCGTGTGTGCACTCACCGTCACAGCTGAGCTGACGACGGTCGGTCAGACATACCTAACGTTGGGGGAGCTTTGAGTGTCCGCCTCAGTCTTGCGGCAACGTTTGACGAGTGAACACGCGGGGTCCAATCACGTGCTTACGCGAGTCTCGATCGACACCTGGAGTGTATCGTCTCAAGAGGAGCGAAGAAAGTTGCCCAGGAACGGAGCAGAGAACAGGAATAATAATAAAACCCGTGGCCGTCGTCGATCAGCTGGTGGCTGCTGTTGTGGGGTGGAAGAGTTCTACGCGAGTGATTCTATACCTACGTGGTGAAGAAGGCTTTCGCGCGGTGTGTGATTTTCTTAATTAGCCGATGGAAAAGCAGATCGCGTGGAAGTAGTAGGAGTACTTGGAGTGTACGCTGCCTGCACCCACCGCCCAGAATGGAAGAAAGTGCGCGGGCGATTAAGTGCAAAAACGCTATTAAAAATATAAAATAAATCGAATTAAGTATGTTAAACGGCTGATAAACGGGTCGGGTGGACTTGTTTGCAGGAGATGTTTTTGCTCCGTTAATGGTTTTCGAGGAGGAAGAAATTGCCGCATTATCTTAAGAGCCTTTGGCAAGGGGGGAATAAGCAGCGAGTGGAACTACTCATAGATCGAGCCTGCAGTTGGAGCTCTTTTTATATTAAACAGATAAAACGGGACAAGAACAAGCGAATTAAATAAATATATGCGGACTGAGTACTGGCAGACAGACTTGAACCGACAGAGGGACATAAGGCGCAGCATAAATTCTGTTGGTGCAGTTAGGAGGACCGAATGCCTTCTGAATGGGTCGCTGCTGACGGGCTCAAAGTCCCGAGAAGAATCGACTGAGTAAACAATAAATAACTTGTTTGGAATATTAAAATGTTTTGCTAGTTGGGCTATCTTTACCGTAAGGTGAACGTGTAATGGCTTCTATGTGTTTCAAATACTAATTTTCCCAATCGAGTGCCGCAAGAGTAGTGTAGTGACCTCGTAAGAACGGTGGTGGAGTATTGAAGATTAGATTTTCCGCAGCTACAGAGTACTGCACGGAGCGCCAGTGGAATTTAACTCATCAGGGCCGTACTGCAGCAGTAAAACGATCAAAAGAAGAAACTGCACCCACGGGAAGAGGAAACAGTGTTGATCGTATCAGCCATCTGTGCCGTTCTTGCTCATGTAAGGTTGTTTGTGATCCTACTATACACTGATAGAAGCTCGGAAGAAAGAAGAAGAATTAGTTCTGCACCTGAGAAGGAAGATAATCTAACGATTTAACGACCTTCGAACGTGGGACCGTCCGTTGCCAGTGAAACAAGCTGCCATTGCTACCACCTTCAAAGTGTCAGAAGGAAGAGAACATCATCAATTGGTCGGCCTAATCTCGTGCCAAAGTGGATATTTTGATTGTTATCGACAAAGCAAAGCGCGCATGCGATCTCTGCACTCAGACCGAACCTGTTGATGTTGTTCCACTGTTGTTGTTGGTGTTGATGCTGAACGATCGCGCGAATCATCATTTATCAAGTGAGTGTTACAATTACAAGGTAACCACCGATCTCGTGGGAGCTTGCTCGGCCGAGGTTTGATTGAGTCGAGGTCAATGTTGAGTCTCGTTGATTATGAAGGGGGCTTACCATGTTTTCTGTTCACTCGATGCTGATGATCATGATGGGAATGCTTGTGAAATATTATCTGCAGCTGTTGTAGCGCCTGCTGATTGAGTGTAAATATTATTTAATGCAATGTATACTAATGGTAAATTAATGTTTTATGCGACCTTCTGGTTAGTGAGTAATTATGAACAATTTTATTAATCAAATTTTGCATTTCGTTTTCATATTTGAAATCATTTTGATTATTATATTAACTATCTGGAAATCTCAGGAATACTATAAAATAATAATTTAGATATTAGGTAGCGTTTTAGCTGATCATCTTTGCATACCAAATAAATTCGATTTAGATTGCAATAATATTTATTTTATTGTATTGTTGAAGTAAAAATGTTTTGAGGTTGGTTATTTTATTCTAAGTGTCTCTTTGGATTACTAAAATTTCGTACATAGAATCATAAAATCGGCATTTCTACAAATGACATGGACATTTTTGATAACTGAACTGATTGAACTGATTAACCATTTTTCGTTTAATAAAAATATCCAGCTTAATTCTTTGTCATAAGAATTGTGAGCGTATGAACAGGAGACATAGGAAATGATGCCCCATTCGTCATATGGACGTTTGGCCGATGTCTTGTTCTGCTGACACATGAACGAATTTTTATTGAGGGGTGGTTCTCTCTCACACACTTATGTACTCTTTCTCATGATATAAAATTGGTTAATAAGGTTACTACGTTTGGCAAGACCATGCTGGAGGAAGCTGGGTTCGATTTCCGGTTCGGTCAAGGAGTTTTTCGGTTTGGAAAATTTCTCGACTTCCCTGGGGATAGAGTATGATTGTACTGTGGAAGTGCATCCATAGAACACTATAAGTTAAGAGCACGCAATAAGCTAATATTCGATAAGCAATGAGCTTGAATTGTAAATAAGAAGAAGAAGAACGTTTGGGTAGAATAATTCAGGATGAACAACATAGAAATTGTTTTTCATCAACTTGTACGTGAACAATGAAAAATGAACTGTATTCGTTTCAAATTCACCTATAAGTCCTACGAACAGGTAGAACAGATGGAAGAGATTCCACTGCAAATTCGCCCTAGAGCAATATTTAGGAAGACAAACATATTTGCGCATATTAAGCAGTTAGTTTTGAAAAAAATTGTGTCTTGTATATGTTTGGTCTATGTTTTCATGTACCGTAAAACGGGTTAACGTTGATAATTTTTTGAAGTTTATTCTAAATTTGTTTCATAGCAATGCATACACACTTAAAAATACCTAATTTTACACGTGACGAAATCCATCTTTAACATAAAGGGTGAGACACACGTAAACAAACATGTCTTGTAAAATTAAGTGCTCCGAGACTGAAAAGTTCGGTACTCGACGAAAAGTACGTTTAATTGAGCTGAATTTTACGTCTATTATGACTCAATTTTATGTCAAAATTGACGCTCGTATATGTCAGTCTCAGAGCACCTAAATTTACACCAATTTTTCTAAGTGTGTATGTTTCAAATTTAATTTAAATATATTTAACGGAAAATATTTCATGTGCACAATTTGTTTAGTCTTGTATTCGAACATCATTATTTTGATTTAGGGTTACTTTGATAATGTTCGATGAATGTAGAAAAACATTCGCGAAACTCGAACAATTTAGTTCAAGAAATATTAAATTTTGAATGAGTATATAATCAGAGAACATCATAAGCAACAACAAAATAACATTGAATTTGTGATGGCTATATCGAAAGAACATTTCATAAGTGATTGTTTGAGTGCCTTTTCAAACATAAAAAAACGAGAAAATTGTTTTCAATAAGTTTGGGAAATATGTAACACATACTATACTATATAAAAACTATATACCAGGCCTTCCCAACGTTTTTAGCCCGCGGGCTAAATGTTAGAATCCATATCAGCTGGCGGGCCAGAAATTTTAATTATAATCTAGAGCCGGTTTTTACGGGGAATATTTTTAACGTTTCAACAATCACATTATCTGGTTTGGGCCAAAACTAATAAAGTTGCATACTTTATAATTATTATAATTCTAAGCAATGTGTATGCAGATCCTAGTTAAAATTACATGAGCTAACAGAAGCCAAACATTTGAAAATGTTCAAGCATGTGCATTTATTACCAACCAATCAATCGAGGTTCTTTGTCTCATTTAACAAGCATCAACAATTGCTAAACTAAATAATGAAATTAAAGGAACGATCTTCAAAATGTTTGAAAATTCATCCCTTAATTTATTCTTGTTATTTTTTAAGATAAGTAGATAAGTGATTAGTTACATATTCATATCAGAAACTGTTACCAAAATCCGCAAATATGATTCCAAGTTTTGATTCACAAAGATGAATGAGAATAGAACAACACGAGGGCCATATTCGAAGGTTTTTTACACGCTATTTGCGGGCGGCACAAAATGAGATGTACGTTGAGCAGGCCTGATCTTCAAATTATCAAGGGTAATACCGTAAACATTAACATACTATCAAAGCGACCCGGATTAGCAAAGATAACCCGTTTTACGGTAAGTGAAATTTGAGCAGTGCCTGTGGTTAATAATTTCAAAATATTATCTTTTTAAGGTTCGAAGAAGTTGTTGAACAAATGAATTGAAACAAAGGAACTTAGTGTGGCCCCTAAAAAATAGTTTCTTACATTAACTTTTAACACATTGATTTCTTGCAAATTATTTGTAGTGAACACTTCTAGAAATTTTAGAGGCGCTTGTTTTTGCGCAACTAACTAAATTGCTATCTTTTGCTGTTGATAAAATAAATATGTGTTTTTTTTCAAATGCAAATATCTCAAAAAGAGGTCAGTGGATTTTATGTTTAAGTGCATACATTTTTGTCTTCCTCCATATGTTAGTGAGTTTCAGTTCCAGTTATGCTAGGTACTATTGAGGCCATTACCACTTATTAGAAAACCTCTAGTGCTACATATATTCCACAACCAAGTCGATTGTATCACATGTCGTTCAGCATTCAAAGTATACACTATCTATAAGTGTAATAAGATTAATTACAGATAATCGAAAATAAACGTTATTTAAAAACTTATTGCTTAATATTTATTTGGCACTTTCATAAACTAGAAGTCGCCATCTTGAATTCCAAACTGGTGTCAAAAATCGATTTTTGGACCCTACACGTTGCCCCTTCCGAAAATGCCAAAATTTAAGGGTATTCGAAATTTAATCATAACGCGGAAGTCGCCATCTTGGATTCCAAAATGGCGTCAACCACCGATGTTCGGCTTCTACACGTCGTTCCCGTTCAGAGAATACCTCTATTCTAAGATATTTGATACTTTTTCACAAGCCGGAAGTCACCATCTTGTTTCCCAAATGGTGTCAATAACCGATTTCTGGCCTCTACACGTCGCTACCGTTCAGAAAATAGATAGTAAGGTATTCGACAGTTTTTCACAAACCAGAAGTCGTCATTTTGGATTCCAAAATGGCGTCAATCATCTGGCCTCTACACGTCGTTTCTGTGTGTGTGTGTATTCCCTCTAACCCCCACTGGCCGGCAGTGTTATTATAGAAGAACTCTCTCTCTCTCTCTCTCTAAAATGTCGCATTTATGGTCATTGTAGACAGCTTTAGTCCGGGAGTTAGAAAGTGATAGCTCTATTGCAGATCCAGCCACCCATTTCAGAATATCTGGAGAGTTACGTCCAGTCCGAGGCTACTTTCACTTACAATAAGCCCCGCATGTATGCATCACCGTTATCAAATGGATATTGGTCTACCAGGTTCGAAAATATTATTTTCAAACCAGCCACGTATTTTGTTTTTTTTTTTTTTAATTGTAAAATGTATTTGGACTGGCCTCCATATGTTAATTTGATCCTCCAATCTATGGGTTCCGTAATTTTGATTTTCTCTAAGCTTTGCATCTCATTTCGTGATGCACCTTTGCCGTAATACTTCCTTTAACGAACACAAATTTTCTTGCATTGTCATGGTCATCTGGGAGGAGGTTCGCGTGTAGTGCTTTCAACAGGAACAGTTCGCGACCACAAACTGCCACCCGTCAAGTCTTGGGCGTATCCAGCGAGGCACCTTTCATATAGCTCGCAATCTCCGACACCAGCGAGAGACCAGCAGCCGAGCACTTTTGCAAGCAGAAAACTTGTTGATTCACGGCAACGTTGGCCACCGAATCACCACCAAAACTCTCGACGGTCACATTATCAACACGTTCCCGGGCTAATTCACCAACCGGACCGATCTCTCAATATAACTACACGCCGAAAGTGTACCATCCGAACTCGGAGAACCGGACTCCCGGGAGGCAATGAAAATCGACACCGAACAATGGAACTGAATCTGTGTTGTATATTTTGAAGATTAGATTCAAGTTCATCCGAGCCACTCAAGGCAAACACAGGCAAAACATGATGTATCACTAAATGATAACTTTATGAACACTTGCAACTAAATTTCAGCACACAAATTAACTAATTTAAATCCAAAATGTGTTTAATTTGCTTACGAAAAATACGCAGCAAAAGAAAAACATGTCAGCTTTCAAGCGCGGCCTACTACGATCTTCCTGGCCTCTACACGTCGTTTCTGTTCCGAAAATATGTACCCATATTGTCCAGTGAACCCACTCGAAATACACTTCCAAGCGGTTCCGGGTAAATTTGCCGAATGTCGTTTGGCCGAATGCCGTTTGGGCGAATGCCGTTTGGGCGAATGCCATTTGGCCAAATGCCATTTGGTCAAATGCCATTATTGCCTACAAAGCAGCAATTACAGTGAAGCAAGCGTTTTGAAACATTCAAGAATGGGAAAATGTCTTTAGTGCCCAGAGAATTGAATGAATGTCCCACTGTGTAGCCTTCAGATTTACCGTCCTGCTCGTGTTGTTT